AGTTATGTCTGTTCTGGTTGTGTTCAACCACAGTATTATCAAGAAGAACTCAGCTGTGTCTGTTCTGGTTGTGTTCTCCCACCGTATTATCAAGAAGAACTCAGCTGCGTTTGTTCTCGTTGTGTTGTCCAACAATATTATCAAGAAGAACTCAACTGTGTCTGTTCTGGTTGTGTTCACCCACGGTATTATCAAGAAGAAGTCAGTTATGTCTGTTCTGGTTGTGTTCAACCACAGTATTATCAAGAAGAACTCAGCTGCGTTTGTTCTCGTTGTGTTGTCCAACAATATTATCAAGAAGAACTCAACTGTTTCTGTTCTGATTGTGTTCTCCCACAGTATTATCAAGAAGAACTCAGTTGTTTCTGTTCTGTTTGTGTTCTCCCACAGTATTATCAAGAATAACTCAGCTATGTCTGTTCTGGTTGTGTTCACCCACGGTATTATCAAGAAGAAGTCAGTTATGTCTGTTCTGGTTGTGTTCACCAACAGTATTATCAAAACCTCAGCTGTGTTTGTTCTGGTTGTGTTTTCCCACAATATTATCAAGAAGAACTCAACTGTTTCTGTTCTGATTGTGTTCTCCCACAGTATTATCAAGAAGAACTCAGTTGTTTCTGTTCTGGTTGTGTTCTCCCACAGTATTATCAAGAATAACTCAGCTATGTCTGTTCTGGTTGTGTTCACCCACGGTATTATCAAGAAGAAGTCAGTTATGTCTGTTCTGGTTGTGTTCACCAACAGTATTATCAAAACCTCAGCTGTGTTTGTTCTGGTTGTGTTTTCCCACAATATTATCAAGAAGAACTCAACTGTGTTTGTTCTGGTTGTGTTCACCCACAGTATTATCAAGAAGAACTCCATTAAAAAAAGCAGAAATAGACCTGGTAAAAATAATGTGCTCGAATATTATCAGTCATTTGGAAATAATTTAGCAAAATGTGCGGTAAAAAAATACATTCAAAATAGTGTCTAATCGATATACACATGAAATATTTTCAAATACCAGAAAGATAAACTTATGATGCAAATCAAGTCTAAACCATTTTCAAATTTGAAAGGTTCACACACACACAAAAAAAAGGAACTTGGTTATAAAATATTAAGTGTTGTAAGCGAGAACTAACTACTAATATAATTGTCTTTTTTAAACATAAACGCGTGCACTTTATGATTTTGTGGTATTAAGAACATTTATTTCACCCGTGAGATCTATATTTTATATCAATTTACTAATGTAGGTTACCAGCCTATACATTTTATAGTTGAAGAGTTCTGACGTCACGAATCATGTAGAAGCGGTAAAATGAGTCTGTCATAATCTAAAAGTAAACTTGAATAAGAACTATGCAGGGTTTTACTTTTAGTAACAAATCCTTTTCATCATGTTATTTGTTCCTGTTTTTTATTGAAATCTCTATTACGTCACTGATTTAAATTAAGGTGATTCGACGGTATTAACTTTTAACTGATCGGCAACGTAATAAAAAACAACAACACATGTATTAAAAATATCGATTAGATAAAAATACGCCTGCACCAAAATACAATTTAAGTAATACGTAAAGTTGGATAACAAACCGTTGGTATCTCGATATATTCCAGGGTATAACAATAATCTTTACACAGTTCTTGATAATACTGTGGGAGAACTCAACCAGAACAGACACAGTTAAATTTTGTTTCTGTGATAGGTAATTATCGATGGAACATTTTATGGCTACCAGATTTCATCAAATCGCCCAAGTAATGTCATAAAACAGAAAATATTAGTATTTGCGATAAATCATGACAAAAATTAACCACACAGGTGGGAGATATTGGCATTTTTATATGTTTAGCTACTAGATGTCGCAACGAAGCATTGTAGTTTGTTAGGGTTTTGTGCAGTATGTTCCACAGCTTTACTGGATTGTTATACAATCCATCATATATATGCTAGTTTGTTTCAAAATTACTTTGTTTCATTGTCTTTACCGTCGTGATCCCACTGAAACTCCACCTTTCCTTCGCCAACAAAGTTCTATGTTGTGTGAACCATGTTTTTTAAAAACAACTGAGACACACTACCCCCCCCCCACCCCCCAAAAAAAAAGTTCTTGCTTAGCCAGAGCGCTCGGGTATATTGATTATTTGTTTTGAAAGTTTGGAAACGTTTGTTTTTAAAGAATTTTGAATTATTTTTATTTTTTAGATAGACTAATAAATTTAAAATACATCCTTTCTCCGCTAGAGGGCACGGGTATAGTTTCGAAACGTTTTAGTGATGAGATAAATGGTCGGGCGTACCAAACTGGGAGTACGATGGACCACGGTTTGCTCCCACTGCTGGGAAATCATGCCCCACACTTTTTGACCGTAGGTGCGTTATAAGAGTAACAGTCAAATCTCACGATTCTATTAGAGTAACCTAAGAGTTGGCGATGGGTGCTGCCTACCCTCTAGTTTATCAGTTCAAAATTAGGGACAGCTTTCTGCAGATAGCCCCATTTTTTTTTTTTAGCGTTGCACAAAATT